AAAAAAATCGCAAAGAAACGTTAAATTTTCGCTCTCTACTGTGGTGTAATCCCTTAAGAGGTTGAATGATTCGACTTTTATTTGTTCTTCATTTCTTATTGCTAAACGATTTACAAATTTTGTTATTTTTTCGACATAATCCCATGTTTTTATTTAAAATTTAATATCCACTAGCTTTAAATGAGGGAAGATATACGTGCTTGATTTATAATATTATTAATCAACATCCTAGAATTATATGAATTTCATATTAGATTTGATATACGTCCTTCACTGACATTATTATTAATTAAGGTAATAGTGCAATATCATTTTTATTTTAAGTATCACGTACATGTTTGATTGATATCATTAATTAATCTAACAGATATCATATCATTTTTATATCAAGTATGATGTACGTGCTTCATTAATATTATTATTGATTAAGATGATAAATAAATATCATTTTTATTGTCGTGGATAGATAGAGATAATTTTATTATAAAACTTTTGTATAAAACATTTTTTGATATTTTAAATAGTTTTTCAGATATCACGGAAGAAGCTTAAAACTTCTTTACATACTTCTTTATATATAGGGGGTGATTTCATACATTAAAACCGTTTATGAGCCGCAACTGATAATTTTTTAATTCATCTATTTATGTAATTTGAATGTGCAGAAAGTTTCATCAAGAATTTAACATTTCGCGAGGTGCCTTTGTTAGTTGTAAAACAAGGCATTTATTAATTAAGCAACAATTTTATTCCGCTTATTTACGAAGCCTATAAGTATAATTTTGTGTCGGTTCGATAGCACAAGATATGAACATTTTTCTTAATAATTGTAATCTTTACAACAACGCTAACCGGAATCGTGGTGCTTCTGGTAGGATAAACATTCAGATATACATTTTTGGACGACAAATTCTTAAATCGTGAAATTTCACGATTTTGAACTAGAAATTTAACTCAGTTTACAGAACATGTAGAGCAAAAATAAAGATAATCTTATTAACTATATAATATAAACTTAAGGAGTCCTTTGAGCCCATCCCAGAGTGTTCTCAATTCAGACGTTAACGTTAAACGCGATATCTTGCCTGCGATCAATTAGTGTCGCTGCGTAAGTATACACAGTCGGTCATGAGCCCGTTGCTTCGCGCATGCATTAGACTCGATATACGACCGTGTGTTTTGATATTATAATTATAAAATAAAATTAAATTGAATACGAGGGTGAATCAAATTTAAACGAGCCTTATTAAATTGCGCGCCCGTCGGCAGCGTGAAGGGTCTGCAACGTTTCGGACAGTGGAGGGGGGTCATGTGGAAGGCGGTATAACGTTGGCGCGCCACGTGCTTCTTACTCTCAGCAGCAATCATGATGAGCGAGAAAGAGATACACCCCGCAGTTGCACAACGTGTTATTATTAAGTTTCTTGTCAACGAAAATGTAAATGCTACTGAAAGTCGACGCCGTTTACTCTCACAGTTCGGGGAAAGAACCCTTTCATGAGCTTGTGTGAAGCAGTGGTGTAACAAATTTAAGAAAGGGCGGGAGCGTGTTGAAAACGTTGCCCACCCGCGCCGTCCCCCCACCAGCATCACAGCGCAGAACACTGAGGCTGTTCGAGAACTCATCGAAGGCGATCGGCGTTTAACTGTTCTTGAAATCTCTCAGGAACTTTAAATCAGCTATGGAAGTGTGCAATCAATCATTTGCAATGAGTTGGGATTTCGAAAAGTGTCGGCTCGTTGGGTTCCAAAGTTGCTAAATGCAGAAATAGACAAAAATTGGCCGATATGCACTGGGCTGTCCTAGAACATTCATCCTACAGCCCAGACCTGTTACCATGTGATTTCCATATGTTAGGACCACTCGAGGAAGCCCTTGGTAGACTGCGTTTCACAACGAACGAGGAGGTGCAGCGGTTCGTGTGCAATTGGTTTGATACAAATCTGCGAACTTTTTATGATACCTGGATTAAAAAATGACCAGACCGTTGGAAGAAGTGTTTAGATAAAATGGGACTATGTAGAAATATAAGAAAAATATAAATTAGAATAGATTTTGAGAAATATATGGTTTATTTGCAAAAGGTTCGTTTATATTTGATCCTCGTATATAAGAAAGTCTAAGATATATGTGAATAAATGAGTAAAATGCTACTAAAAGGTAAAAATCATCGTTGAACTTCCAGAACGCGACTTTGCGCAGAAAACGACAAAAAAGATAACAAACTGATGTTATGGATGTTTTTGAACAATCCTCGTCTATCATTGCATTGCGAGCAGGCGACATTACGTCAAAAAGGTACAATCAGGGGACAGGTAAATCATGTGACACAATAAGATGTCTACGTGTTCATTAGGTGAAATCATCTTCTCATCATCATCGAAATCTTCAGCCTTTACATCATTCACTCCTGAACAAAAGCCTCATCTATTGTCCTAAAAGGATTTTGGCATTAAAATGCCGTGTTTGCCATTGCGTACGGGCGAGTGTTTTTCTGAACGTGAGGTTTACACATGGTGATTATCAACTGTATGTGGACTAATGGCTTAACATCTCTTCCGAAAGACGGAACCCAGTTTTTTATATATAAATCCCTTCTCTTTTATTCAGTATGCGAAGAGCATAGCTTGCAATAAAATTCTGGTGATCAGGTGGACTTGAACGCGAATTCTCCGCGCTACATGTCTGGCGCTCTACCACTAGACCACACTGCCGTTTTTGAAGTGGAATATTGAAACACAATTAATAAAGCATCCACTGTCTGAAAAACATGTCAAAAAAAGAATTGTTTGGACGCAAGAAAATTTGGGACCGCTATTGAGACAATATAATTTTTTCCGACAAAGATGCTTTTCAGGCACGTTAGTTACATCATTCATATCTGATGTATTCATGCCAGCTCTCGTCCAGCAAAACCATTAAGTATCCGGTAAAAGAGCATGTTTATAAGTGCTTCTCAAAACACGGATTTGGCACTTAGCACATTTTTAACAGACAATTTAAATGCCGCAAAAATGACCCAAATTTATGAAAGGGTTTTATTACTTGTTCAAAAATGATTTAGAAAGACAAACGAATAATGGCTATTATAAGATAATGATCCAAAATATCGCAGTTGTTTTTGTGCTGCAAACAAGAAAATATCATTCATATCACTCATATATTAAATTGGCTGTTATAGTTATCGGATGCAATACCATCAAAAACGTTTGGGCACTCATGAAGCTTAGACTTAAGCTTCATGGAAAGAAGATTTGGAAGATCAAGCAGCTAACGGGACAAATTCATTTGATATGGAGATCTTTATCTCAAAAATACATTATTAGATTAGTGTAAATAAGTCTTGGAGATGACAGATAATTATTGATAATGGAGGCGATTGGATACCTTATTAAGGGGGTAGTCTGATGCAGAACGCAAAAAACAAGCACTTTTTTGAGATTTTTTATTTACGAAACTACTGAATATATATTTTTGCAATTAACAGAGTTTATTGTACATATATTGAAAAGTATGAATTAATTTTTTCGTCTATTCATCTCAATAATTGACCAAGTGACAGCACATACGAAGGCGCCTTTGAAAATTCTTCCCAAACGGCGTGCAATCTAGCACCTCGTAAAATCATCTGAATAAAAAAAAAAATTTTTTTTGTCAACTATATGAATGTAGTTTCTAGTTATACCGAGGAAACATTAAAAAAAAAGGAAATTGAAAAATTTTCAACTTAAAACTAAATTTTCGTTTTTGGCCTAAATTTTGCGCGTAATATTGTTTATAACTTTTTATAAACAATTGTTTTACTTCTAATTGTCGGTATAACTATAAGACAATTCAATTATCTTTAATTAAAAAAAAAATCATATTGATATCTCAAAAATTGTTTGAGTTATACTGCACGCCAATTTCAAAAACATAGTTTAGAGATAAACGCGTTTAAAGTTTTCGAACAAGAAAAAAGGTTGATAAACTATTTTTTTTTATTTACCTCAACTTTATTATCAATCAGCTATATCTGGACAATACAGAAGACCTTCTATCTCCTCATAAAGTTCATTTTGTTGTAGTTGTTCTTTATGCAGCAAACCGATTTTTTTATTAGCGCTTTTACTTCGACGATTCTGAGAAATGACTCTACTTTGATTAATTTTATCAGAAAAATTTTTGCAGGTCGTTCCAATTATAATGCCAACTTCTGACATGATTCCTAGCAATGACAAGTAACCTCCATTAAACATAGTTGCTGCTAAATAGGCTGCGATTTCGATAATCTTTCGTCCACAATGTAGATGCTTAGGGGCTAGTCGCCAAATGACCGAGTTAAAGCTTTCATTGGCATTTTGAGTGAAGCCGCCTAAACATCTTTCAAGTAAATATTTTCTCGATAAGTCTTTGTATATAGGTAATATACTCTCAGCTACAACTGGATGTAAAGGCTCTGAGTGAGTGTATGGAACTCCTAGGCTTTCGGCGCGTCGAAATTTACACCAAGAATCTTCAGCAAAAAGACAATTTTCATGTCTTGGTTTTTTATCAGTCGATATATTAGTAATACAAATAAGTTTCCGCCGTTCCTTAAATAAAAATTATCAATTTATTAAAAAAAAAATGTACGTTACACTTTATTCAAAATATTGTCCGTCACTAGCTACTACTTTTTGCCATCTTTCTGGCAGCATTCGGATGCCACGTCAAAAAAACTCTTCATCTTTTGAGGCTATCCATGAATCGACCTAATTTTTGGCTTCTTCGTAAGAAGTGAAGTGCTGCTCGACCAGGGCGTGAGCCATCAACCGGAACAAGTGGTAGTCCGAAGAAGCAATGTCTGGTGAATACGGCGGGTGGGGTAAGACATCCCATTGTAAAGCTTCCAAAGTATCCTTGACGACTTTTGCAACATGTGGCCGAGCGTTGTCGTGCTGAAAAATCACTTTGTCATGTCTTTTGGCATATTGGGGGCGTTTAAGCTTCACTTCTTGGCTTAATTGCATCAGTTGCTGTTGATAACGTTATCCAGTGATAGTTTCGTTAGGCTGGAGTAGCTCGTAATAGATTACTCCGAGCTGATCCCACCAGATGCACAACATATTAGCTTCTTGCCACAAATATTCGGTTTGGTCGTTGAAGTTCGTGCATGGCCAGGCTTACCCCACGATTTCCTACGCTTTGGGTTGTCGTAGTGGATCCACTTTTCATCTCCCGTCACTATTCGATGCAAAAAACCCCCAAAAAGATTTTGTCTTTGGAGAAGTTCGCACGTAAAAAGACGGCGTTCGACGTCTCTGGGTTTGAGTTCATGCGGAACCCAATTTCCTTGCTTTTGTACCATACCAATGGTCTTGAGACGGTTTGAAATCGCTTGTTGAGTCACTCCCAAGTTTTCTGCAAGCTGCTCTTGTGTTTGGCATGAGTCTTGGTACAATAATGCCTCTAACTCAGCGTCTTCAAACTTTACTGGCCTTCCTTCGCGTTCTTTATCTTCCACGTCAAACTCGCCGTTTTTAAACTTTTGAAACCACTCACGACAACTTCTTTCACTTAAAGTAGCATCACCGTAAACTTCTACAAGCGACCGATGCGCCTCAGCAGTAGATTTCTTTAAATGAAAAAAATAAATCAAAACTTCCCGCAAATGACGCTTATTCGGTACNGCGGACTCAACTTGTGTGTGTTTGTAGTTTTAAATGTCAGACGAACAAAATGACGTATGTGTCAAATTAATACGCTGCGTACTTTTCGCTGGCGCTATCTCTTAGTTAAACCGGAAAAAACTTATGCATACACCTGGTACATCTGACGATTTCAAAGTAATCTTGTCGTTGGAGCCATCTTTTGAAAACGGCGGAAGCTTATTTGTATTACTATGCAAATATGTGGCCATTATATCTCTTTGCATATTTTCCACAGATTCTGGATTTCTCATTATTGCGAGGCCGTAGTATTTTGTAAGCTTTTTTTATCAAAGTGTCAGTTAGCTTACCCTTGCCACCAAGTTTTTTTTCTTTTTTGACATTTTGACATTAATGTATATAATGCTTACAAGATTACCAACAAACTACAAGAGTTCCTAAAGGCATTTTAAAACTCTCGTGAGCACTGTGGCTCTGGTGCCTTTGGGAACGCTTACGCATGCGTACTTAGCGAGCTTGTTTCGACCCGCAAAATTTTGAATTTATTTTTGTGACTTCGGTAACATTTTCTAGAGGTGAAAAACTATCGATTAAGCCAAAAAAAGAAAATCGATTTTTTGAAGTTGCTACACCAGGCTACCCTTTTAATGATGAAGCATTACAGTTCTTATCAAGTGGCAAATGTATGTTTTTTTTTAATTTATTACAATAAATAGTTTTTGAGTTATGCTAATTACGCTTATATCAAATAGGCTATATTTCGAATATTCTGAAAATGTAAGCAATTTACGAGGATGAATCAAATATAAACAAGCCTTTTTAAATTGTGCGCCCATCGGCGGCGTGAGGAGTCTGCAACGTTTTGGACAGTGGAGGGCGGTCATATGGAAGGCAGTAATAACGTTAGCGCGCCATGTGCTTCTTATTCTCAGCAGCAATCATGATAAGTGAGAAAGAGATACACCGCGCAGTTGCACAATGTGTTATATTAAGTTTCTCGTCAACAAAAATATAAATGCTACTGAAATTCGACGCCGTTTACTCCCACAGTTCGGGGAAAAAACCCTTTCATGGGCTCAGGTGAAACAGTGGTGTAACAAATTTAAGAAAGGACGGGATCGTGTTGAAAACATTGTCGCCGTTCCCGCATCAGCATCACAGCACAGAACAGTTGGCACTTAACTGTTCCTGAAATCTCTCAGGAACTTCAGTTCGAGCTACCTATCGATCCAAAAGATGCGGCATACCGGTCAGAAGTGTGTTGCTTCTCCATGACAACGCCAGACCCCACACCGCAACAGTAACACAACAAGAATTGACCGATATGCATTGGGCTGTCCTAGAACATCCACCCTACAGCCCAGATCTGCCATGCGACTTCCATATGTGTGTGCCACTCAAAGAAGCCCTCGGTGGACAGCGCTTCACAACAAACGAGGAAGTGCTGCAGTTCGTGTGCAATTTGTTTGATTGTCCGCGACCTTTTTATGATACCGGGATTAAAAAATTACCGTTGGAGAAAATATATAGATAAGATGGAGGACTATGTAGAAAAATAAGAAAAATGTAAATTAGAATTGATTTTGAAAAATGATATGTGATTTTTTTGCAAAATACTCGTTTATATTTGATCCACCCTCGTAGTAACGATATTCTCTGAACATTTTTGAAATTTGTATGTTAGGATATTTTGTTTTAGATAATCCAAGGTAATATAAACCGGGACATGAAATGTCTGAAAAATGTCTTATTTACAAATATTTAAGACTTCGTATGTCCTGATTTTAGAAGTTATGTTGTGTGGGAACTGTAAGTAAGGATATCTATTGCACCACCTGACTGGCACCACCTGACTGGCCTGTGGCCTGGCCGAGAATGAGCCGGAAACTCGCGCCTTCTCATATGAGAAGGCGACCGAATTAGATAATTTTGTCTCGTGCACTGTTTTGCGCAGAAGTAGCCCGCGGCTATTATAATTTTTGATAAATGTAAAGTCGCTCACGACGAGTCAGTGCATCGCACGTAAGGAGATTGGAGAATTCGGAGCTGCCGGGAGGAGCCGAGCGCAAACGAAAACGAGGACTCTGGAGAAGCGACTAGAGCGGCACGCGGAAAGACGCGGGGGAAATTTCTCTTCCCGGGCGGACGGTTGGCGACTGTCAGCGGGGATGGCCACCTTGCTCTAAGAAAGGCACAAGGCCCTGCGACCCGGTCGCAGAGCATGCGAGGAAGGATACCTACGGAAGGATCCAGGGAATTCCTTCAAGTACTACGAGCCCAACAGTTGCCGAATGTCATCCGGGAAGAAACAACGCTATAAATAACTTTAACACATAAAATTATATCAAATTCGAAAGAATGTCGGTCTGTGTTCAAAAGTTCTTTCACTCGCGGCACATTGTCGTCAGTGGTGCTCGTCGATGACTGTCCGGCGCGGGCTTCGTCGTCGATCTCTTCCAGGCCTTCCAAAAAAACCTTGTGCCATCGGAACACTTGCCAATCCGACAGGACATTTTTTTTAAAAGCTGTCTTGATCATTGGAAGAGTTTCCGCCGCTGTTTTGCCAAGTTTACTATTTTTACTTGCACATGATCACAAAACAATTTCCACAGAAACGCATGTCCTTACTATGCGGCTGGCGGGAGAAGACTGAGTGACTCAACATTCGTTAGCTGACTTTCCCCTCTACCATTCCCAATCGATCCGAACGCGCTCTGACGGTCAGTCGGGTAAAAAAAAATCACTGACATTACTTTCCGGACAAACCATGTACATAGGATACTACGAAAGTTTTGCAACACAACTGTACTTTTCTACTTTCGTTCAATGAAGTCTTTATCGCATTCAATACACTTCTTCATATAACGAAACAAGTCGGTGAGCCAATGTCGTTAGGTTTCTTCCTAGAAATTAGTCCCATGTTGCCAAGAATTGTGGAAGTTGCTGGAGGTCACCTGACCTTCAGCTGTATTTTGACTTCAGAAATCAATCCAAAATT